AAACCATTTGAAAAAAGTTTCATTCGAAAACCTCAAACCATGAAGATCTTCTCTCGTTTCCTTCGTTTACTTTCGTCACTCGTAGCTGACCACATTTGAAACGAAAGGTTGTACGATGGTGGAATGTAAATGTTGTATATGCAAAATCTAATAAATCCTGTTTGAAAAAACAAATATACGCGATTTAAATGCGGAAAAATAGTTTCATTTCCTACATAGCAATTTATAAAATATTTAATAAATAATTATATATTATACCTACGTAGATACATTTATGTATAAATGTACCTAAATAAACATAAACTTACTAATAACTTATACTTACTAATACACACGATGCAGACTAGGACTGTGATAAAAGATATTTACGCAATCTGGTTTTGAAAATAGGTAGCGACTTAGAATGTCGGTTTGTTGTCGGAATGATTGTTGATTTCGATGATTCTTGTTCTGTTGAAAAGGTGGTCCTATTGAATTTGAAGATAATGGTCTATTTCACTCAATTTCCGTTAATATAGGTACATAATTCTTGACCTTCACTGTGGAATTATAGATAAAGCATTGAGTTTACAATACTTTTATCAATTTCCGATTATTCTAGATAGTACTTTTGTGCCATCTGTTGGAATAAAGAAACTTTAGATATCGCACTGCTAATACAATAGTGTATTAACTCAAAAACTAATTACTCAATTCCCGTGAAAGATTATTATAATTTATGTATACGTTAAAATTTATTAGACATCTAAACAACTTCTATTTGCCAATTAGAAGTATATTTGAAAATAAAAGTAAAAAATAATTTCATATTTTTTAGTAAGGACTGTTTTATCCAGAACTAAGTCACAAAACGTTTGTCTAATTCTGGGTTCACAGCCCCGCACTAGGGAAACCCTGTGTCGCGGGTGCCATGTCCACACACAGACAACCACAAATTACACCCAAACTCACGAGAGAAATAAATGTAGACCATATAAATAGTTCTTCCGGCTCGGGAATCGACTCTGAGATCTCTGCGTGGCAGTCCGGCATGGCAACCGTTCGGCCATGGAGGCAGTTAAACTGCAATTCGAACTGCATTCAAAGATTTTTAAATAATCGCCTGTCTGAACCAGGTATCGAACCCGCCAAATGTGAACAAAGAAACACCTGTCCGTTTGCCATACTAATCGAAAGCCTCGATCATAAGGATTGTTTTCTTCTAAATGACATAGTTTCTTAATAAAAAGAAGACCGAACATTTAATTACAACAACAATTAAATAAACTGAACATTTAATTTGAAATTTTGTTCATGAAAATCAAATAGTCCTTTCTGTGACCTTGGCGTGCTCATAACAACTGACATTATCATTTCAAAGTTTGCATTGCATTGTATCTTATCATGCACTTAAGGGTAATAAAATCTATTTGTCAAGTTTGTACTCATTAGTAACACTTGTATAAGCACAACACACATTTTAAACAACTCAATTTTAAATTACTAACTTTGTTCAACAGATGGCAGCACCAGCAGTTGGCATCGATCTTGGTACAACGTTCTCCTGTGTTGCAGTCTTCAGGAATGGCAAGGTATTAACTATTTTGGCATATTTTGGTCAGACCAGTAAAGTTTGCTCTCGTTTTTTGGTGGGAGCAATGGTTTTTTGAGTAAAAACCATTGCTCCCACCAAAAAGCGACGCTCCGGCGCAGACGTACGGGGAGAAGGCGAAGGCAATTCGCTGCTCGCCTGATCCCCTAGTGAGACCAGCGGGCTCTGGACAGAGACTCCGTAGCCTGCATTGCACGGCCTCACTCGTCTGGGGGGCGGGTCGGAGGACAACCGACTCGCCCCTCCGTTGGCGCGGGAGCCCTGGTACAAGCTAGGGCGGCCGGGCGGCGCGGCGGCGTCGGCATTGGGCGGTGAATGTTCACTGATGCCATGGCGCCGACTCAACCGGCGAGAGGGAAACTCGGAGGGGTTATAGTGGGGTAGGCCCTCCAGTGTGAAGGGAGAGTCTCCACATAACTCCTGAGTCTCCCTGGGCTCAGGGGTATCCATAAAGATTTCCCCCTATAAAGTTTTCTCACTCGCCAAAGCCGTTGGAAGTTTTTTATTGTTTTTTTCTTTTGATTTGAAACTCGGCGTTTTCATTAATTACGGTACCGGCACGCTATGATGGCCGGTTTGACAGATTCGAAAAAAATATAATAATTGTTATATAAAAATATAATAATATAAGAACGAAAATCAAAATGTTAATTAATATATCGTCAATTCGAAACTTCTTTGTTTTGCATTGAGCTTTGACGCGAGTTTGCCGGCGGTAGAAGTTGTGCTAGCCAGCGATCCTATAAGTGCCAAGTTGTGTCGTAAAATTATACATCCATAAATTTTATTGCACTTCACTATTGACAAAATAATGTACATCAATTAGCTCCTACAATGTAGTTATGAATTAATACGAAACTTGATGAGCGGGCAAACGTCAAAACGGCCATCATAGCGTGTTGGTATTTTAAATGACTGTTAATAAAATTAATTTAAGGTATAAAGAAAAATAATTTAAGGTATTTGAAGACCGATGACGCCTGCCCATTGCAGTCCCAGTGCCCTTCGGGGCTTTAAATTGCTAAGACCTGAGGAGCTCTGCCTCAACGCCCGTCACCCTGAGACATAAATTGACAAGTCCCATGTGCCTGTAATTTCACCAGCACCCTTACCCTTTTAAACCGAAACGCAGTCATGCTGACATTACTGCTTGGCTGTCGAAATAGGTAAGGTGGCAGTGGCAACTTACCTTAACTTCTCATGTGGGGTAAAGCGGCAGATATTCAAACCATATTTGTATTGCAAAAACGAGCGATTCGTTCTGTGTACCGTCTAGGCTCTCGGGTTTCTCTCAGAGAAAAGTTTGAGGAGACTGGTATCATGACTGTGGCATCACAGTACATTTACTCAAATATTTTATATGCCCGTAAAAATATACATTTCAATAAGAAAGAAGATATCCATAATATTAACCTTACAACAAAGTCCAAACTCGTGATTCCACGTTTTCGTTTGTCTAAGGTAAACAACTCTTTTATGGGGAACTGTATACGTTTTTACAATAAGATTCCGGAGCATATATTAAGTTTATCATTTCCTAAGTTTAAAAACTACATTAGAAATATTTTGATCGAAAAGTCATATTACAAAATTGAAGACTACGTGTTAGATAAAGATGTATGGAAAGACGACATGGCTCCAGAATCCACACAAATTTGATTCAAAGTGTATTCCGTAGCATTTAAGTTTATTTGAAAAGAGCAATCCCTAGAGTTTCTTGCTCGTTCTTCTCAGGGAGGTCAGCGTAGTGAACGAGCAGTAGCTTAAATGTGACGTTTTCAAGTGTAAATTTATTTTACCTAGGGAATAAATAATCTTTGACTTTGACCTGCAGCTTGATTTTGATTGCCTCTCCCGATCGGAAACTGCATCTTTTCCGAGTCGAGGCGTATAATATTGCGGATGGGCTACCCGATCGGTTCGATTCCGTTTTGAATTAAAATCAGGGCCCAGGACGAACTCTTTCCCACGGAGCTTTAGTGCTACTGGCCTACATGAAATTTTTCTTTCTGCTCAGAATCACGTTATACTTGTTTTTCCAAACAAACCAACGTTATGTCTAATATTTAATGCATACTAACACTGCATTCTGTGTGGTAACTGTGTAGTTATGTAAGTTATTAATTTAAATACCTAAAACAGCTAAGTAAACCGTAATAATGGGACCTTTGAAAAGCCCAACCCGTTGGTTTTTTTAAAAAAAATATACGCTGTTTGATTTCCGAATTTGTTTCATAAAAAAATAATTCTTTACGATTAACATATGAGGTTATGTGTCTTCATTAGATGTCGGCCATATTGGTTTACATTTTTGGTATTTTCCATTGACTTACAAATAAATGGACGACGGGTCTAATACAAAAACCACGAAAAAAATGTCCCAAGTCAACCTATTTAAACGTAGTAACATGTAAAGGAATATGAAAAAGCTAAAACGTTGAATTTGAATTGTAATGTCATCGCAGTATACTGTCTAATTTTGCTTGCTTCGCTGTCAGTCGAACAAACGAAGGCTAGAGCGTGAATGACGCTCTGTATACGATTTTAACGCCCTATAAGTTCGGACACTTTTTAGCGCGGACCCGACGTCCATATAATTGTAAGTCAATGGTATTTTCTAACCTAGACTATCACTTTGTTTACACATTCTTTGAATCTCGTATTGTTAAAAGGTGGAGGTGATACCCAACGCCGAAGGCAACCGCATCACGCCGTCGTACGTGGCCTTCACGGACACCGAACGACTCGTCGGTGACGCCGCCAAGGCCCAGGACGCGGTCAACCCCGAAAACACCATTTTCGGTATGTCAATTGAATCAATCCTATACTTTCCACTTACGGAATAAACAAATTAATGAAAGTGTGTTCTTTTGTAGCCATAATTATGTTCCTTAAGAACATAATCGGGCAACGAAACTCTCATTGGTATAGGATTTCTAGCTTTAAATAAACTTCCATTAAAATTATTGAATACAACGCCATCTAGTGTTGAGTAATGGTACTCCAAAGGCAAATTCGTCATTACATGAGCTGTTGATTGAACAGGATGTATTGACGATTAAGTAAATTTTACTGAATTCCAATAGGATTAATTTTTCTACATAACATTATTTCTCAAATTTAGTTTGTTAATGGTATTCAATTAAGTCTATATTATCTTAGTTTTGTAATGACAGATTAAGTCGACAGGTGTGTGCGTTAGGTAACAACGGATTTTGTATTAAAGCCGGTTGATACCATTCCAACTAGTTTATTTATCCTAGGTTAGTCCAGGGAAGTACTGCCACCTTACCTACTTCTGCCGCCAAGCAGTAATGTCAGCATTACTGTGTTCCGGTTTTGACGGGTGCTGGTGAAATTACAGGCACATGGGACTTGTCAACTTATGTCTCAGGGTGACGGGCGCAGTGGCAGTACCCGTGCCCCTCAGTTCTTTGCGATTTAAAGCTCTGAGTGGCACTGCAACTGGTATGGACAGGCGTGTAACTTACCTTCAGGCTCGCGACTTGTTCGCCCCGTCACTTGTTATTATAAAAAAAAATATTCCTAGGGGCATTGACTTACAATTATATGGACGTCGGGTCCGCGCTAAAAAGTGTCTGAACTTGTAAGGCGTTAAAATCGTATACAGAGCGTCAAACTCCGCTTTAGTCTTCATTTGTTCGACTGACAGCGCGATACTGCGATGACATTACAATTTAAATTCAACGTTTTAGCTTTTTCATATTCTTTTACATGTCACTACGTTTAAATAGGTTGACTGGGGACATTTTTTCGTGGTTTTTGTATTAGACCCGTCGTCCATTTATTTGTAAGTCAATGCCTAGGGGCGATATGTTTACATATGGATACAAGGTACTCCTTGTACTTTAAAAAAATACCAAGTAGTTTATAGTAACTACTTGGTATTATATACACCAAATAGTAATAAACTACTTGGTATTTTTTTTTAATTAGGCAACACTAGCATGACTATGAGCACAGTCTCCTTTAACACACGGACGTCGTAATAAACAGTTGTCAAACTGTGTCACAGAACAATAAATACAGTAGAAGTGCTTAGTTTGCGAGGCATGTGTGCCAACAGTACGTGAAATATCACGTACTTGTAACAAAAGTAAACCTTATACTGCTGCAATATGGTCGCCTCTTTTTAGAGAACTATGTAAACATCTCTGATTCGTCGTCAGTCATCTATTGACCGCTAGATGGCAGCACGTTTATGGAAATTATAATATAAAATCAAGACTTGCAATAATAGGCATTGAACTTATAAGAATATGGTAATAGACTAAGGTAACCGTCCTGAATTTGTTATTTCTTTTTTTACGACCAATCATTATCAAGATTTCATAGTGTTTCAAATTAAGTTAGTGTGAGTTTTGGCGACAGCGGTTCTTCAGTTTTTTCTTCCGTAGCCAGTCTCATACCTTTCGCAACGGGGTTGGGCCGTCGATGACGTTTTTGGTTGGTTTAATGTTCTAACATCGGAACTAACACTGGCCTAAGCCTAGTGACCGCCATTAAAGAAATAATAATAATAATAAAAGATTTTAGCAGAATAACAAAGACTGTCATAAGTGCAATACAATCTCAGTGGAGTCTCAATACAGTTACAATGACCAGTGGTTTCAAGGAAGTTAGCAGAATTAGGACCCTGTATTATGCGTCAATTACTACAATCACTTGGTTGAAAAACCAAGTACAAAGACACGACGCAAGCACATAGAAAAATTCGTGAGGTCCGTTGGTTCGTTCCGTGGCTTAGTTGGTATAGCGTCTGGCACGGTATGCAAGAAGACGTCGGTTCGAATCCGACCGGATCGAAGGAATTTTTTCTGAGTGTTTTTTCTGAGTGTTCGATCTTTGTATTAATAATTATAACAAACTAGTGGAGTAATTTCACCAAAAAATAATTGAATATCAATTCAATAAAAATTTAATTACTACAATCACTGTAAAACTCGCCGCTTGGTATTTGTAACACATTTTCCGGTAATTGGCGCCATCCATGATATATTACGATGCACTTCTAGAGAACACTCCAGAAATAATGCTTCGGAGTGCCAAAAGTACAATATATAGTTTATTATGTATCAGATCTGCCTTTATCCCGAAAGGTTTGGAAAAATACAATTTCACTCTCGATTAATGGGGGACAAAAGAGAATGACAATTAAGCAAAGTTATGGATGGCTTGTTACAGATGCCAAGCGGCTGATTGGGCGTCGGTTCGACGACCCCGTGGTGCAAAAGGATATGAAGCAATGGCCTTTCAAAGTAGTTGAAAATGACGGCGGAAGGCCTAAAATCGAAGTGACGTTTAAGGGTGAAACCAAGAGTTTCTTTCCTGAAGAAGTGAGTGCAATGGTGCTGTCCTCACTCAAGGACCAAGCCGAGTCATACCTCGGTGCGACGGTGCGCAACGCCGTGATCACCGTGCCGGCGTACTTCAACGATTCCCAGCGTCAGGCCACCAAAGACGCCGGCACCATCGCAGGCCTCAACGTGCTACGCATCATCAACGAACCTACTGCTGCTGTTCTTGCTTACGGACTGGACAAAACCGATGACGACGAAGAACGTAACGTGCTAATTTTCGACTTGGGAGGCGGGACTTTTGACGTCTCTGTACTGACCATAGAGGAAGGCATCTACGAGGTCAGAGCTACCGCTGGCGACACTCACCTGGGCGGTGAAGATTTCGACACTCGTATGGTGGAATATTGTCTAAGTGAGTTTGAAAAGGAGCACGACATAGATTTGAGTGAAGACAAAAAAGCCCGGATTAGAATTAAGAACCAATGTGAGCGCGCCAAGCGTATTCTGTCTACAGCAATGCAAGCAAGTATTGATATCGCTGGACTGCATGAAGGTGAAGATTTTCACATAAATTTCACTCGAGCACAATTCGAAGAGCTGAACAGGGACCATTTTGAGAAGACTTTGGCACCTATGGAGAAAGCATTGCGCGATGCCAAAATAGACAAGGCAGATATCAACGAAGTCATTCTTGTAGGAGGTTCGACCAGGATTCCGTTTATCCAAAAACTGGTGTTGGATTTCTTTGAGGATAAAGAGTTAAACAAGAGTGTGAATCCTGACGAGGCCGTTGCGTACGGAGCGGCTGTGCAGGCGGCGATTCTGGACGGGGATCCTTCTGAAGTTATCATGGATTTGGTGCTCGTGGACGTGGCGCCTCTGTCACTGGGAATCAACACTATTGGGAATGTTATGACAAAGTTGATAGAACGGAATACTACTATCCCTACGAAAGCAACGCGGACTTTTACCACCGCAGTGGACAATCAACAGCAGGTAATTTTGAATTCTTACAATTATTTCTGCCGACATTTTTCGGTTTTTTGACGCCAAAAGTCAATACAGTGATTGTTTTTTCACCGTGTTAATTATTTTTTAGGTTCTCGTTCAAGTATTCGAAGGCGAACGCATAATGACGCGTGAGAATAATCTTCTGGGTAAATTTTCACTTACCGGTATCCCGCCAGCCGCCAAGGGGGTTCCACAAATTGACGTCACTTTCGAAATTGACGAAGACGGAATACTCAATGTGTCAGCTGTCGAACTTAGCACGAATAAATCGAAAAACATCACCATAACGAATGATAAAGGCAGACTTTCCAAGCACCAGATCGACAGAATGGTCAAAGAAGCAGAAATGTACAAAAAGGAAGAGGAACAAATAAAAATCTCTGCTGAAGCGAGAAATTCACTGGAGTATTATTGCTACAGGTTAGTTGAAACTTTGAATTAGTTATTTTGTTATGTTTCTCCTATATGATTAAAGCATCATCGTGTCAACTTAGCTCCCTATTATAGTCGTCACCAAATAAGAGGCCTAATTTGACAGCTAAAGAAGCCCTTAGTATGTAACTTTGAATGCGATCAACGAAACAATAAACCAACAATAATTAGCATAATTGAGCTTACATAAAATACATAAATTTTATTGAAACATTATATAATATGACAAAACATATTGAAGTACTATTTTCCAAAATAAAATGCAATTTTGAGTTACTCCGAAACGTCCTGAAAACAGTTACGTCCTCAAGCTATTTTTTTCTTAAATAATAGTGTTGTAAGCAATTAATCGCCGAATTTCACCGAGTCACTTCGATTTCTCGGAAAATATATTGACTTATGCAGTTGTTTTATTGATGAACTTACTTATTTACACTAAATTCTCGTAATAAACCATTTATGAATATTATAAAATCAAAATTAAAAGAATTGGATACAATTCATCGGAATTTTACGAACTTAAGAGGAATTGCTACAAATGTATTGCTTTTAACATAATTGCACGATTTGGCCTTTTAGGCCCCCTGATTAACAATGAACCGAAAAATAATCTAAGCAATCACAAACTCTTAAAATGTTGAATCGATTTCTCGTGAAAATCGTATAATGTGATTTCCGTCACGATGACAAGTGGCAAATTTGGCTTCTTATTTGGTGACGACTACAATCAGCGAATATGATCGTCGATATCTCAAACGAAAATTGCTGAACGGCCTGCTGGCCCTATGCGGGTTGGGGACGCGTTTTCTGAGGGTTGTGAACCGTCTTCAACGCGCAGGTTTCATTACGATATTTCCCTTCACCGAAAAGCTCATGGTAAATATTTATTTCGCGTATAAAGTCCGAGAATCTCAAATATGAGAGCCCGAATTCGAAGACTTGAGTAGACAGACGTAGGTGAAACAATTGTTACAAGGTTTTTCGTAAGTGATCAAAACATTGGTCTTGTCTTCCAGCATGAGGTCGAAGGCGGAGAACAAAGCTTTCAAGGACCGCATACAGCCGGAAACAAAGCAAGCAGTCTTGGACAAGTGCAAAGAGATACTCGGTTGGCTCGGGGAGAACCAGCAGGCTACAGCCAAAGAACTCAATAGTAAACTGAGTGATCTCGAGAGAGTGTGCGTGCCAATTAAGAAATTGTAATAAGGTCGAAAGTCGAATAAATAGTTCGACTTTGTATTAATAATTACAACAAAGTATTAAAGTTATGTCACAAAAGAAATATAAATTGGGAATTTGACTATGATCAAACAGCATTAAATTCAATTTAAAAAAACCATTAATACATTTAGTAAAGCGGCTCAACTTCAGCCTGTCGTAACTGTAAGAGACAGAACTCACGAAGCGGTTTTGACTCGCGCCCGCTGCGGTTGCGGGACAGCTGTTTCATTTCAACTGTCACGATACCACAGGTTTGTGCGGTCACGTAGCCGCCGCGGTTGCGGAACGGCCCGCAAACTTGGCGGGAGACGCGAGGTTACTTACGATCAATTGAGATCATCAGTTAAGTCTCAGACGTCGCCATGGACTCATCAAAAACGAGCTATCGCGTTATACTTACTTCATCGAAGGATTAAAAGAAGGAGACCTAAAAGATTCTGGGTGCATCCTCTGATTCAGGAAAGAGATCGTTACGGATTATTCGTTGTTCCTATTAATGAGTTAAAAAAACATGAAGACAATTCTTTAATTTTTTTCGGATGGCCGTATCTACTTATTCAGAACTTTTAAGAAAAATGGTAACTGGTAGTAAATTAATTGATCGACTTCAACTCCGGCTGCGGTTGCGGCCGCCGCGAGCAACCGTCTCCGCTGCGGGCGTAAAACGCGTCGTGAGATGTACTACTAAATTTTGCAACCGCGGCGGGCGCGGGTGAAAACCACTCCATGAGTTCTTAGCCTAAAGATACCAGCTGAGTGAGAGGATTCATAAATCTCTCACAAGATGTCGCTTACTTAAACATAACAATAATCTATAACATTCATAGAAAAATTGCGTCGACCTGCGACTTGTAGCTCAGTTGGCAGAGCGACGCTACGTGCAACGTGATCACAGGTTAAGTCCTGTCGGGTCGAAACAAAAAAACAAAACAAACAAACAAAAGTTTTTCTTTGTGTTCGATCACGAAGTTGTTTCGTAGTCAACATAAATATTCATGTAAAATGTTGAATTTCGGGGTCCAAAAGTAGCTTATAAACTTTTTTAATATTAAATTTTTTATGTTATTAAAATGAAAATGAATGAGTATTAAAATATTGTTTTATTTACTTAGACTTTTACATTTTTAACCGACTTCAAAAGGTATGTTACGCGATAACTCCGGAGGCATTTGTGAAACGACTTTGACGATTCTTTGTTTGTTGGAAAAACGGTACCTCATATGTGGTCCCATTTAAATTTGAAGAAAATTATCCACCGCTAAGGGTGGTAATCTATGATGAATGACTTTTGAGGTCGGTTTTTCCCCAAATGAGTTCCACGTGTTAAATTGGTTTTGGTAGTACAAGTACAAGGAATCTGTCGTGAATCATTGTTTGTATATTTCGATGTACGCTTTCACATGGCGACCTTCAGCCAGTGTTGGGCGTTAATCAATTAAATTTCAATCAATAATTCAATCAGATTAAAAAATCAATTCAATTGAAATCAATTGCAATTAAATCAATTGCGACGCTTGGGTGCCCCGGTTGGGGTCCCCGCTTGGCCCCAAGCGGGCCCCAAACCGGGCCCCCAACCGGGGACGCCAACCGGGGACCCCAAGCGGGGACGCCAACCGGGGCCCCCAACCAGGCCCCCAACCGGCCCCCTGACCTGCCCCCAGCAGGCCCACAACCAGCGCCCTAACTCACCCCCATATGCCTTATAAATTTATCATAATTGTCAGTTTTAATTGTTAATTCTTAATCAAAAACATTGAAAAGATTGAAAATTGATTAATTGTTAATTGTAGGTATTTGCGATTAACAATTGATCAATCGTTAATTGCTGTTTCGCAATTGACAATTAATCAATTGTCAATCTTTAATTGCCAATTAAATTTTGCCCAACACTGCCTTCAGCAGAGCGTCTGCAGGTAAGTCGCTCATCAATCAATACTCTATTGCATTGTCTACAATGTTTTACAGGATGATAGGTTTAATATTTGACAGATCATTGTATACCCTTAGAATAATAACGCATAGAATGATAGTTTCATATCAAACGAACTGTCACAAGTGAGGCAAAAATCAAATTCATGTAGGCTAGTTTTAGTAGTAGGTTAATTTTCGGTTTTATTGAATATTTATATAAAAATACAAGTTGAAATGCGTTACTTCCTTGTGGAACGTGATGTTAGTATCTATTTTATGTTGGTCTGGCGTATTTTTACACTCATTTACCGCACATTTCGTCATTTTTAGCTAAAATTCTTGAGCTGTTCGCGGTGCAAGTTGACCTTGAGCACTGACGGCCCGCCCGCTCGTGAAGGCCCATTGGGAGCGCTTCAATTTGCCTCACTTAGCGTGTGCGGACTAGGTTTCTATGCGTTGTTATTCTAAGTGTAGACCCTGGATAGGGCACAACAAACTGGTAAGGACATAATAAATTCTGAAACAGCATAACAACATTTTTCTATTGGCAATCTCTTTACTTTTTTTTTATAAATATTATGTCGCTTTTCTCATCTACTAACGACTTTGGTAATTTATTACAAACTTTGATCGACATTAGGAGTGGACTAGAAGAGCTCATTTTAAGTCGGGTGCTTTTATCAGTTTTGTATGTGTAACGTGTAGCAATATCTCTTCGCCTTGTGAGTGGGTCTAGATTCCACACAATATAATTCAGTGTATTCCATAGCATTTAATTTTATTTAGATAGATGGATGACCTGGTAAGGGCGGCGGGTAACTGATGGATGCACGTCGCGTCCGATCGGCTGGTCTGGAAATCTTTGGGGGAGGCCTGTGTTCAGCAGTGGACGTCTTCCGGCTGATATGATGAAGTTTATTTAAAAAGAACAACCCCTAGACTTTCTTGTTCGTTCTTCTCAGGGAAGTCAGCGCAGTGAACGAGCATTAGCTTAAAAAATTACGTTTTCAAGCATTGACTTACAAATAAATGGACGACGGGTCTAATACAAAAACCACGAAAAAAATGTCCCAAGTCAACCTATTTAAACGTAGTGACATGTAAATGAATATGAAAAAGCTAAAACGTTGTATTTAAATTGTAATGTCAACGCAGTACTGTCTAATTTTGCTTGCTTCGCTGTCAGTCGAACAAACGAAGACTAAAGCGTGAATGACGCTCTGTATACGATTTTAACGCCCTATAAGTTCGGACACTTTTTAGCGCGGACCCGACGTCCATATAATTGTAAGTCAATGTTTTCAAGTGTAAAAACTTTATATATAATACTCTTTATTGTACAAAAAAAAGGAACATGAAACAGACGTTACAATGGACATATACAAAGGTGAGCTTATCTCTATAAGAGATCTCTTCCAGCCAACCCTAGCCGTGGTGCAAAAATGAAGTCTGCGGGACTAATTATTGTACAACAAAATTTAAATTTAAATGTGAATAAAATATAAATAATAATAATATACATACGACAGACATACACACATACATGAAGTTTATATACATAAATACATACATAAGCAGAATATACATATACTATAATAACAGATTATTTGTTTACAAATATGTTTCCTATAAACTATCTAACGCGTTCGACAGGAAGTGCTCTTTTAATTTGTGTTTGAAAGATGCCACCGATGGACTGTCACGAATGTTAGCAGGTAGTTTGGAATAAATGATTTTACTTTACCTATGGAATAAATGATTTTGACATGAATAACTGCGCGGCTTGTATGTGTTCGCTCCCGCTGGCGCCGTGTATAAGGACTCACACATTTACATAACCTAAGGGTTCATTCTGAGTGCAGGCGTGGGCGCGGCGGCGTGTGCCCGCGCGGGGCAGGTTAAGACCTGCCCCGCATCTATATTAGAATATGTAACAATATTAGACATAACTGGTTGAAGACTGTACCACCTCACTCAACCGTGACCATGGGACCTGTAAAGAGCCCGAAACGTCGGTTTGTTTGAAAAAACAAATATACGCGATTTAAATCCGGAAAAATAGTTTCATTTCCTATGTGTAACAATCGCGAAAACCTAAGAACTCGAAATGTAAAAATATTTCAACCAACTGAATGAATCAAACTACAAATACTTAATAATTAGTTGATAATGAGTTTATATACTTGTAATTTTTGAGGAATTCATAATACTTATTAATATATTACATTCTCTCGACCTTCTCCATAATGTTTTTTGCTTTAATTCTAAAATTGTTTTGACATCAATATTAAATTTTGACATTTTTGTTTACGCCAATTTCTATTCTAAACTTTTATATTATTTTGCTTCATTTTATTGTATTCAATGTCTTGGCTTGCAGTGTCCTATTCAGGGTCATGTACAAGGTCAAGAGCACGTCAAGCTGGACACTTATAACTTAAATCCAACTCTATGCCGCTTACGATAAGAATGGTCCAAAGTACAAAGTGTCAAGCTTGACGTGCTCTTGAGTGTACTACACTCTAGTCCTAATGTAACACATTTGTAACACCTGCTATGTACATGCGACAATAAATAAATACTAACACAAAAATAAGTTATGACTTAAAGAAACAGAATTCCGTTGACTATCAATAATATTGTCATAAAACATTTAACCAAATTCTGAATTTCGATTGTCTGCTTGTTGCAGATGCAAAGCGACTGATCGGGCGTCGCTTCGACGATCCCGTGGCGAAGGCAGACATGAAGCTGTGGCCGTTCACCGTCGTCAACGAGGACGGCAGACCTAAGATCCAGGCCCGGTTCAAGGGAGAACGCAAGAGCTTCTTCCCTGAAGAAATAAGCGCCATGGTGCTGTCCACACTCAAAAACTCGGCAGAGGCGTACATTGGCAAACCGGTGCACAATGTTGTGGTGACCGTGCCAGCGTACTTCAACGATTCCCAGCGTCAGGCCACCAAGGACGCCGGCACTATCGCAGGCCTCAACGTGCTGCGCATCATCAATGAACCGACGGCCGGTGCGATAGCTTACGGCCTCGATACACCCGAAGAAGACGAGCGAAATGTGCTAATTTTCGATTTGGGAGGCGGTACTTTCGACGTATCCATACTGACCATCGAAGAGGGCATCTTTGAGGTCCGCGCTACGGCTGGGGACACGCACCTTGGCGGTGAAGACTTCGATGCCCGCCTAGTGGAGCACTGCGCCAGCGAATTCGCCAGGAAGTACGGGCTGGATCTACGCAAAGACAAGAAGGCTCTGAGGAGGCTGAGAACGGCGTGTGAGCGTGCAAAGCGTGCGCTTTCGTCAGCGACCCAGGCCACCGTGGAGTTGGACGCGCTGTACGGTGGTAAAGACTTGCACGCGGTCATCACTCGCGCGTGCTTCGAAGAGCTCAACCAGGACCTGTTCCAGAAGACCAAAAATATCTTGGAACAAGCGATGCGCGATGCGAAGATGGGTAAAGACGATATAGCAGATGTAGTGTTGATTGGAGGGTCGACACGAATCCCGTGCGTTCAGCAGATGGTTAAGGCGTTCTTCGGAAAAGAACCGAGTAAGACCGTAAATCCGGACGAAGCCGTCGCTCACGGCGCAGCTATTCAAGCCGCAGTCCTCGACGGTGACCCTTCTGAGGTCATCTCTGATCTCGTCCTCGTCGATGTGACCCCTCTTTCCCTCGGCATCGAGGTAGTTGGAGGTATCATGAGTGTAATCATCCCCCGGAACACGACCATCCCCACTAAAAACACGAAGAGGTATTACAACTCTTATGACAACCAAACCGAATTTTTGATCAAAGTGTTTGAAGGCGAGCGAAAGATGACAGCCGATAACCACAAATTGGGAGAGTTTATTTTGTCCCGCGTTCCACCATTGCCTCGGGGACAAGCTGCTGCAGATGTAACCTTTGAGATAGATGCCGATGGGATCCTTCACGTTTCGGCAGTGCAAACCGTCACAAAGAGTACAAACCAGATAACGATCACTAGCAACAAAGGGCGGCTATCGAAGGAGGAGATTTCGCGACTGGTGCGGGAGGCGGAAGCCATGAAGCGGGATGACGAGGCCAGGCGAGAGGCGGCCGAGGCGAGAAATGAGCTGGAGCGCATTTGCTGGCGC